ACACCGCTTCTCCAGCCATGCTGAGGCCGCGTCCCACATACAGCAACTAGAAGGATGTGCAACTAAGACATAATAACTATCTACTGGGGCTTTGGGGGAAAAAAAAGGAGGAGGATTGGCAACAGATATTAGCTCAGAGCCGGTCTTCCTCAGCAGAAAGAGGAGGATTAGCATGGATGTTAGCTCAGGGTTGATCTTCCTCACAAAAAAAAACCAAAAAAACAAATAAGATCTGTGTAATGGGCAGTTAAGGGAGAACAAAAAGAAAGAAATAACTGGGCTGGTGTTTCTCTGATAAGAAGATGTTTTTAGGTAAGTGTTCATCAGTGGCAAAATGCCAGCCACACTTTTTATTCAGCTTGAGCCATGAATATTAGAGTTAGTATCTGTGGCCACTGCTTTTTGAAATACATCATGGTGCTCTAGCAATTTAGAACAGGTATCTCCTATATTGAAACCTATTCCCAGGAGCAGATGGCTTCACTAGCAAATTCTATCGAACATTTAAAGAAGAATTAATGCCAATCCTTCTCAAACTCTTCCAAAAAACTGAAGAAGAGGGAACACTTCCAAACTCATTTCATGAGGCCAGCATTACCCTGATACCAAAGCCAGATAAGAACACCTCAATAAAAGAAAACTATAGACCAATATCCCTAATGAATACAGAGGCAAAAATTCTCAACAAAATATTAGCAAACCAAATTCAACAATACATTAAAAGGATTATGCACCACAACCAAGTGGGATTTATCCCTGGGATGCCAGGGAGGTTCAACATACGCAAATCAATAAACATGATACACTACGTTAACAGAATGAAAGATAAAAATCATATGATCACCTCAATAGATGCAGAAAAAGCATTTGACAAAATATGACATCCTTTCATTATAAAAACCCTCAACAAATTGGGTATAGAAGGAACATATCTCAACATAATAAAGGCCACATATGACAAGCCCAAAACTAACATTACACTCAACAGTGAAAAATTGAAAGCTTCTCCTCTAAAACCAGAAACAAGACATGGATGCCCACTCTCACCACTTTTATTCAACACAGTACTGGAAGTTCTAGCTAGAGCAATCAGGTAAGACAAAGAAATAAAAGGCACCCAAATCGGAAAGGAAGAAGCAAAAATTGTCATTATTTGCAGATGATATGATCTAATATACAGAAAACCCTCAAGACTCAACCAAAAAACTGTTAGAACTAATCAACAAATTCAGTAAAGTTGCAGGATATAAAATCAACATACAGAAATCAATTATGTTTCTATACACTAAAAACGACACATCTGAAAAAGAAATAAAGAAAACTATCCCATTCACAATAGCATCAAAAACAATAAAATACTTAGGAATAAATTTAACCAAGGAAATGAAAGGTCTGTACAATGAAAACTACATTTAATTTTTAATGAAACTGAAGAAAAAAACACAAACAAATGGAAAGACCTTTGTCATGGATCAGAAGATTAATATTGTTAAAATGTCCATTATACCCAAAGCCATCTACTGATTCAACACAATCCCTATCAAAATTTCAATAGTATTTTTCACAGAAATAAAAAAAAAAATCTAAAATTTGTATGGAACCACAAAAGACCCCAAATAGCCAAAGCAATCATGAGAAAGAAGAACTAAGCCAAAGGCATCACATTTCCAGATTTCAAACTATACTACAAAGCTATAGTAATTAAAACAGTATAGTACTGGCATAAAAACAGACACACAGATCAATGGAACAGAATAGAAGGCCCAGAAATACACTCTTGCATTTACAATCAACTAATATTTGTCAAGGGATCCAAGAACACTCAACGGGGAAAGGATAGTCTCTTCAACAAGTGGTGTTGAGAAAACTGAACCACCGCAAACAGAAAAACAAAATTGGACCCCTATCTTACACCACTCACAAAAATGAACTTGAAATGGATTAAAGAGACTTATTCATAAGACCTGGTACCATAAAACTCCCGAAGAAAACAGAGGAAAGAGGCTCCTAGACACTGGTCTTGGCAATGATTTTTTGGATATGATACCAAAACGCACAAGCAACAAAACGAAAAGTCAACAAGTGGGACTACATCAAACTAAAAAGCTTCTGCACAGCAAAAGAAACAATCAAAAAATGAAAAGGCAACCTACCAAATGGCAGAAAATATTTGCAAACCATAAATCAGATAACCAGTTAATATCCAAAACATATAAAGAACTCATACAACTCAATAACAACAACAAAAAATCTGATTAAAAAACGGGCAAAGGAACAAAATAGACATTTTTCCAAAGAAGACATCCAAATGGCCAACAAGTACATGAAAAGATGCTCAACATTACTAACCACCAGAGAAATGCAAATCAAAACCACAATGAGCTATCACCTCACACCTGTTAAAATGCCTATCATCAAGAAGATAAGAGATAAGTATCGGCAAGGATGTAGAAAAAAGGGAACCCTTGTGCACTGTTGGTGGAAATGTAAACTGGTTCAGCCACTACAGAAAACATTATGGAGGTTCCTCAAAAAATTAAAAATAGAACTACCATATGATCCAGCAATTCCACTCCTGGGTATATAACCAAAGGAAATGAAAACAGGGCATCAAAGAGATACATGCACTCCCACATTCACTGCAGCATTATTCACAATAGCCAAGATACGAAAATAACCTGAGTGTCCATCAACAGATGAATGGATAAAGATGATGTGGTACATATATACAATGGAATATTATTCAGCCATGAGAAAGAAGGAAAGCCTGCCATTTGCAAAAACATGGATGGACCTTGAGGGCATTGCGCTAAGTGAGATAAGTCAGACAGAGAAAGACAAATACTGTATGATATCACTTACATATAGAAACTAAAAAAGCCAAACTCGTAAAAACAGAGTAGAATGGTGGTTACTGGGGGATGGGGGAATTGGGGAGATGTTGTTTAACATACAAACTTGCAACCAGTAAAGAGATAAGTCCTGGAAATGCACAGCATAGTGATTTTACACAACAATACTGTATTAAAAACTGCAAAGTTGCTAAGAGACTAGATCATAATTGTTCCTATCACAAAAAAGAAATGATAATCACATGACTTGATAGAGGTGTTAACTAATGCTATGGTGGTAATCATATTGCAATATATAAATATATCAAAGCAACACGTTGTACACCTTAAACTTACACAATGTTATTTGTCAATTATATCTAAATAAAAATAAAGTTATTTTCAGCTTTTAGCTTTAAACTAGAAGTATATTTCTGAGTTAATGACTTTCAGAAAAAACAGGGTATTTTATTTTATATATATTCACAAAATTGTCAAGTTCTGATAGATTAAAATGCCATTATTTCTTTTTTCAGTATTCACTTTGGAACTTCCATGGTGACAATCCTACGACTCTTGAAACATTACCTTTTGAGGGGTAATGGTTACCTTAATCCAAAACACCTGACGGTGGTTACATCTGAGGAAAGCACTACATTGTTGTAGACCTTAGAAAAGAATCATCGGGGCCGGCCCCGTGGCTTAGCAGTTAAGCGCACGCGCTCCGCTGCTGGCGGCCCGGGTTCAGATCCCGGGCGCGCACTGACGCACCGCTTCTCCGGCCATGCTGAGGCCGTGTCCCACATACAGCAACTAGAAGGATATGCAACTATGACGTACAACTATCTACTGGAGGGCTTTGCGGGGAAAAAAAAGGAGGAGCATTGGCAATGGATGTTAGCTCAGAGCTGGTCTTCCTCAGCAAAAAGAGGATTAGCACGGATGTTAGCTGAGGGCTGATCTTCCTCACACACACACAAAAAGAAAAGAATCATCGTCTAGTGTTTTTATAATGACAATCATAAAATTATCTGTTGAGTGGAAAAAACCCTGAAGGAATACATTAACCACTTTCACAGTTCTTTAAATGCTTTTAGGAAATTTTAAGAGATCAACAAGTTAAACACATGATCACAGCTACTGACCAAAGGGAAACAGATTTTCTATGATGCAACACTCTGGCCACAATACCACCTCACAATCAAAGGGACTGAAAGCCAGAAAGACCTACACTTAGACCCTGGTCAAGCCTATCTTACAGGTCAGGGTCTCTCAGGCCTCAGTGTCCTCACTTGTGGAATTAATGGAGCTATTCATTCAGTGTTGGCTGAATGCCTACTATGTGCCAAACCCTGTGTTAGCGATGGAAGTTCATTGTTGTTTTGAATAAATAAAATCATGGTCCTTGCCCTTGCAAAGCTCCTAATCTTGTGAAGAGACAAAGAAATGCAATATGATAACTGCTATGAACAAACTGTTATGCCTGGGCAAATTGAAAAAGCCTACAGAGAGGAAATACAGCTGGGCTACCACTTAAAGAATGAATATGAGCTGCTTAGATGGGGATTATGAGTATTCCTTGAAGAAAGAACAGACTGTAAAGACAAGAAGACAGGAAAGAACAAGAAGAGGGAGGTTTAATGTAGATGGTGCATAGGCTGGGCATCAGGGAGATAAACTTAGAGCCTTATATGCCACACTAGGGAATCTGACCTTTAACCTTGGAGGAACGGTAAGGTTCCTTCTACACTATGACTCTGGAAAACTGGCTGTAGGCTCAACCAGATGAATCCAATTTGTCCATCATTTCATCTAAAGTTGTTAGAGTCTTTTAAAGCTCTAAAACTTGGATGGAAAAAGCCATCCAAGTTTTGATGCTGATATTATGAAATCTAAAAGAACTCGCTTAACCGATAAATCTTAGGACTACCAGATTTCTATTGTTATGATTACAGTAGTAAAACATTCTAAAAGCAAGATACATGACAAGTGATTTACTTCTGTTCCTTATCAAATGAATCTACAGCTGTGAAAATTATAAACAGATACTAAATTTACATGCCCATAAAAATACTTTTTTATACTTTGTTCAAATAAAGCTTCACTCTTTTCACTCTGAATATCAATTAATTATAGAAGTACCTAAAGAAAACATCAAGTTCCATCTACCTGTGTTCTGCAGGTACAGGGGGCGGCCAAACAGCAGGATCTCTAAATGGTTCATCTTGAGAGGACACAGGGAAATCTGGCGGCTTGTCGATTTTAAAACTTTCCAAAGTGCTGACAATACTTTTAACTTGTTCATATTCTTCCAGTAATTCCTGCCGAACCTTAAAAAAATAACGGTTATGTTACTTAAACTGTTTAAAGTTTATATAAATTGCAAATAATAAATTGCTATCGAATGCAAGTTTTCTTTTTTTTTTTTTTAAGATTTTATTTATTTATTTTTCCCCCAAAGCCCCAGTAGATAGTTGTCTGTCATAGCTGCACATCCTTCCAGTTGCTGCACGTGGGACGCGGCCTCAGCATGGCCGGAGAAGCGGTGCGTTGGTGCGATCCCGGGATCCGAACCCGGGCCGCCAGCAGCGGAGGGCGAGCACTTAACCGCCAAGCCACGGGGCCGGCCCGCAAGTTTTCTTTATGTCGTTCAAAGTATGCAAAATGAGTCATGAAAACATATCCAAAAAACAAAGAACTAATTAAAGTAATATAGATATGAGGGTTAGAATCGGTTTAAAAAAAGACATAATTACATACCCTTTTTGTAGGAGAAGTAGTTATATATCTTTCACAAGGGAACTCTATTTCTACCAAAGAATGTGATAACCATTAATACCATTTAAAACAAGCCACTAAGTCACTAACAAGTTGATCATTCCCAGAAATCTATAATGCTATGCTAAATCCTTTTACTATATCTGTAAATACCTTCCAAAAAATTACCAGCCAAATCTTCACCAGCATTTTCTATCCCCAGTATCAGTAAATATGAAATGCTTGTCATGAGTATCCAAAAGCCTAAAGTGGTATAATACTTCAGTTCATTCCATATAAGTCCATTCCACATATTCATACCACAGGAGTGGGTATGAACTACCCACTTCCAATTTTTATTTAAATTCTCCTTCAGCTAAAATCTGAATTCTTTTGGCCTTGTTTAAATTCTTTTGAGTCCTGGGTAAAGTTTATTTTGAGCTCAAAGGTAAGATTTCTCCTATATTTAAAAAACTTCACTGAGCACCTACCATGTGGAAATTCTTGTTTACCCAAACTAATTTTCAAAGGCAAACAGATAATAGATTGAAAATTACACTTATAAATTCATTTTAACAATTCTAATTTTTTTTAACCAGAAAGCACACTTTACTGTAAAGCAGAGCATAAGAAACTTTCCCTTAACTTTATCTTGATAAACACATAGAAAAGAACATACAAAAGAGTTGCAAAACCAAAGAAAAATCTAGGTAAAATTCAACTGCTAATATATGCAATTTATATGCTATACTTGGAGAAATGAAACTTAGAACTTAGTGGAAAGAAACATAGTCGAACTATCTGAATAGAAATGGTCACTAACACAATTAACAACATGTCAAAAATATTTCCATGCTAGATTAATAAACAACTCTTGCCTGTGGCTAGTATGTAGAATAGAAGAATACAACTAAAAATTTCAACTTGAGTCAGATCAAGTATATTGTTCTCACTCAACATAACTTGGTAACACTTAAGTAGGAAAGTAAGCCCAATTTACCCTGAAAACTTAGTAAAACATCAATTTCTGACTAATGAAGAAATTAGAAGAAACACTTGAAAGGCATTAGTACATAAAATGGAAACTTCAAAGAAACGCTTCACTTTGTACTTTTAATTTTAAGAGGATTTTAAGTTTTAAGTGGGGAAATATTTTTATTAACTATACTATTATATAATCTAGTGGTATAGTCAAGAGACAGCAAATATATGTGTTTTTTTATTAGATTACTGACTTCTTTGTATGTAAAGAGTCTTTCAAAAGAAGAGGAAACTTTCTTAAAAGGAAAACGGTCAAATACACATAAAAATTACGAAATGGGTCAAAATATACGTAAAAATGACAGGGGAAGGGGAGAGTAGAAATATCTTATTTCAAAAATTTGTAATCACATACAATCAGGCAACTGATCATGAAAATAAAAAAAAGAGTAGATTCAATTAGAATTAAATATCTTTGAAATATGTCTCTTGAAATATATTATTGAAAATATATAAAATATTAACTGGGCAAGACAAAATTATTCAGAGGTCATTTTAAATATATTTCAGTAATCAGACAATTAAGAATTATTTACAAAATCTCAAACTAATTTTCCAACTCCAATCTTTCAACTATAATAGCCTACTGCTCTCATTCACTGAATAATGTGATCTTACCTGCTGCCATTTGCCTTTGACAGCCGGGTCTCTGACTGTCTGGCAATGTCTCTGAATCTGCTGTATCACTCCCTGATAATATACCATCGACGAGTCATAATTTCCAAGAAGTGCATATTCTCTTCCTTTCTTTGCATTGTCACAAATCTCGGCCAAATTCATCTTCTTTCAGAGACCTAAACATAAAATATAATGACTTGTTACTAAATTTTCAGCACTGACTTTAAAACATTTTTTATTATTCTTTAAAATATCTGCTCAAAACTACTTTGGAAGTCAGAATGGTTCTCTCATTCTTTGGGGTTATCTGAATGCATCTTATAATACTGAACAAAGTTTCTAATTTTAGAAGTACAAAGGAGATCACAAAAGAACACCCAAGGAGATAATAAGGAGAGAAATTACACAGCTCTGAACTATTGATTGAGGTTACAGGTACATAAATTGGACACTAGTTTTCCTTGCTCATTTATAATTACACAAGCTGCAATAATAGTAATGATGAACTTGCTTTATTTTATGCAATTTATTCTTGACAATGAAGAAATAAATATATGAATAACACATTATGTTCCACTGACGTCAACTAAAACTGCAGAAATTAGTTCTAAAACTTTTTGGCCCCAAGAACAAAAAGTCATACTTAAGGAACACATTTTAAAGGAACAGCCTATAGTTGTCTGTGCATCATTTATATACGTTTAATTGTCCCATACAATTTAAATCTAAGCAAATACCTCTGAATTAAACTACTTGAGCCCTTTTTGCTCCTCAATTTCTAATGTTCCATGATCCTGTTATTCTCCATGACTTTTTGTCTGTGTAAATAACTATCATTAATCTTTTCCCTTCTACAAGGTACTAGGAAGGTATCTGAACCTCTGGCTTCCACCAAAGCCCCCCAGCCCAGTAATTCTGGCTTTCTTCCAGGCTTCCCAAAAGTCTCCCAGAGTCATCCAAGACTTCTATGCAAAGATACTTTCCACCCAAGACTACAAGGAGGAGGAAGTCCAGAGATACAGAAGAATGACATCCTGGGAAGGAGCTCAAATTGCCTCACTCATTTCCTGCAACAATAAACCAATGAATACACTTAGTAGAGAAAATCAAAGTATTTCTCCATGCCTTCCTGAGGGAATTAAATTTTGGTGTGGGTAGCCTGACTCTTCCTCTCTGCCTCTTATCTATTCTTAAGGGGCTCAAAAACTCTTCCTCAAAATTAACCACATCTAGTTCTAGGCATTTCAACCAACTCCAGTATATTCTTGAAAATAAAGCTGTTTCCTTTACATATTTTGGCACATTATTTGCCCCTTGCCCCAGCATAGGTTCCTTGAAGGCAGCCTCTATGTTACTTGAGAGTCACACTGCAACAAATAGTACACTACTTTTACACAGTAAGAAATTTCAACATTCAGTAGGTCTATCCACAGATTATAAGAAGACCATTGAAAGCCTCTTCTTCAAATTAGAACATGAACACAAAGAAATAAGGTCTTATTACAATGAATACGCTGCAATTAATAAATCCAATTAATAAAAGCATCAGTTCTGCTAATACATGCAGGTACACAACTATCCAGAACAAAAATGTCTTGATGTGAAGCAGGTTTTCTGTAAAGTGCCAGACAGGAAATATTTTAGGCTTTGAAGGCCAACAGACAAAACTGAGGATATTATATAAGTCCTTATATAACGAGACAAAAATTTCCACAATTTTTATTGATGAAATTCAAAATAGTATAGTAATAATAGTTGAGTACAACTTTCTGTAAAAACAGGTCTACTAATGAGAATGGAACTCTTTTGTGGGGGATAACATTTCACTTAGTGTTCTCTATCATCAAAACCAATTGCAAATGTTCATATGTTAATGCTGCTTTTTAATAAGATTTTACGTAGTTCATGTTTGAAAATGTAATTTTACCCAGACAGATACTGTAACATATTGATACCAAATCTCAAGCATATGATTTCAGTTCAGCATATTCATTGTTTGGAGGGCATTTAAAGAGTTTATTCTGGGGCCGGCCCCGTGGCTTTGCGGTTAAGTACTCGTGCTCCGCTACTGGGGGCCCGGGTTTGGATCCCGGGTGCGCACTGACGCACCGCTTCTCCGGCCATGCTGAGGCCGTGTCCCACATACAGCAACTAGAAGGATGTGAAACTATGACATTCAACTATCTACTGGGGCTTTGGGGGAAAAAAAAGGAAGAGGATTGGCAATAGATGTTAGCTCAGAGCTGGTCTTCCTCAGCAAAAAGAGGAGGATTAGCACGGATGTTAGCTCAGGGCTGATCTTCTTCACAAAAAAAAAAAAAAAAAGAAAGAAAAAGAGTTTATTCTTCTCTTGATATTTGTCTCTGAGCATGTTACTAAACTGCAGGTTAATCACTTCCAATTGAAAGCTAGGTGGAAGTGCCTCAACTGCACAGTGAAATGGATTTTCTAACATGGACATTTCCTTTGCACTTGCATCAAAGTCTGAAAGATGCTACTGAAACTGTAGTCTGAGCTCAGAAAATATATCTATTGCAAATCGGGGTGGGAATGGAGATCTCACTTCTTTGCGCTAACTTTTGACAGCATGGAAACCTACATATAACAGCTTGATATTACTTGTAACTCAAACATTAGTTGGCATCAAAATAACTTAGGGGCCGGCCCAGTGGTGTAGTGGTTAAGTTCGTGTGCTCCACTTGGTGGCCCAGGGTTCACAGGTTCGGATCCTGGGTGCAGACCTACACACCACTCACCTAGCCATACTGTGGCAGTGTCCCATATACAAAGTAAAGGAAGACTGGCACAGATGTTAGCTCAGGGACCATCTTCCTTACAAAAAAAAAAAAAAGTTAAAATAACTTTTAGTTTTGCATATAAGCACTGTCTTCTCTTATAATTTTATGTTGAATTCATTAAGAAACATTATCAAGACTGCAGCAAAAACTGACTTCCAAAGCCACTCAGCGTTCAATAACAGTGGTTGAGAGCAGTTCCTCTCATTCATAAAAATTTCAAATCAGCCCTAAGCTCAAAAGACTGGAATATAACTTTACCACTACTAGGCCACTGAACTGCTGTGTGGTAGGGCAGTTCAGCTTCTATTTCTGACAAAAATTCACAAACTGACGTGTAATGACAAGGTCCACAAGAGCAACATTCTTGAGTCTTGAGATACTACTAGTTCCATATCTCAGGACAGATTCAAATTTCTCTGTAAAATACCTGCTGATAAATAAAACAGTGAATAACCATAGACTTTAACCAACTTACATTTTCACAGCTTTGTAAATTTGTTCACCTAAGCCTTTTTCTGTTCTACACATATTTTTACCATCAGTTGTAACACATCTTAGCAGATTCCACTTCAGGTTATAAAGAATTAGTGTTTTCTCAACTTTTTGTAAATATTCTTGTCTGTAGTTATTCCATGAACACTTTTCATTAAAACTAATTCTCAGTAACCTCAAACTCAGCATTGACTTCTCAATTAACAATTGAGCTGTATTAGTAACATCTGTCCATTCATCACGAGCCCAGGAAAACCATTCAAAATCATTTGCCTTTTTAATTGATTACTGATGTCCTCAACTCTTCCATCAACTGTTCTTGCCAAAAGGCTAATAGTCTTAAACAAGTTTATCTTCTCCAGACACATTTCTTTGGCTGCTACCATCAAAAAAGATTTAGTAGTTACCATAGGTAAATGACTTCCTTGTTTGGTTAACAAATAAGACACTCATAAACTTACTCTGAGTGCAGCCTGATTTTCATTTTTTAATTTTGTGAGGAAATTCTACTGTGATAAGACATTCCTTTTTACGTTTTCTAATTTTTCTGACCATTGTTTTCCTGTGAATTGAGAATACTACGATGAGTGATTAGTCTGGTAATGTCAGTATATACTGTATTTCTTTAGCACAGCTATAGTGTCACTGCATAATAATCACAATGCTTTGTCACCTAATTCGATAACCCACACTCCATCATGCTTTAAAAGTACAATACGTCAAGTCCATTTTTCTTATCTTTTCTTGTTTTGATATGATCGGTATATGCTGATAATAAATAAATAAAGTAAAATCTCACAGTACAGTGATATGCATGGCACTTGAAACATTGTGATTCGAGTCCACCAACCAGCAGTGCAAAGCAATGAGAATGCCACAAAGTCTGTTGCAACTACTCAACTCTGCCCTTCTAGCACAAAAACAGCCACAGACAATACGTAAACAAATGGGTGAGGTTGTGTTTCAATAAGACTTTATTTATGGACACCAATATCTGAATTTCATTTAATTTCCAGATATCACAAAATAGTGTTCTTCTGACTTTTTTAACCACTAAGAAAATGCAAAAACCATTCTTAGTTCACAGGCCATTCAAAAACAAGTGGCAGGCTGGCTTTGGCTCCCAGATTGTAGTTTGCTGACTCCTTCTTTCAGCTTCTAGCTTAAGACTCTAGGAAAATAAAAGCAAATTAAACTCAAAAGAAGTAGAAGGAAGAACATAATAAGAGCACAAATCAATAAAACAGAAACAGAAAAACAAAAGAAAATTTTAATGTAGCCTAAAGCTGGTTCTTTGGAAAGATCATCAAAATAGACAAACCTCTAGTAATACTGACCAGGAAAGGGAGAGAGAAAACACAAATTTCCAAAATCAGAAATGAAGGAGGGCCTATCACTACAAACTTTAGAGATATTAAAAGGCAAAAGAGGGCTTAATGAAATGGACAAATTCTATGAAGGTCACAACACACCAAAGCTTACTCAAGAAGAAATAAAGTTATTAATCTGAATAGTCCTATATCAATCAACGAAATTCAATTTGTAATTTAAAATCTCCCTCCTTACACACAAAAAAACTGCAGATCCAAATGGCTTCAGTGGAATTCTCCAAAGCATTTAAGAGAAAAATAAAACCAATTTTAAACAAAGAAAAAAGAAGAGTCGGAAGAACTTCCAACTCATATTTTAAAGCCAGCATTACTCTGATACCAAAACCAGACATTATAAAAAAGGAAATTTACATACCAATATCCCTCAGGAACACAGACACAAAAATCTTTAAATTTTAGCTAATCAAATCCAGTAATATATAAAAAGGATAACGCATTATGATAAAGTGGGGTTTATACCAAAAATTCAAGGCGGTTTGTATTAAAAAAATCAAT